TTCTAAATAGTACAGGTGATTCTCGTTAATATCAGCTTCATTAATATTTAACTTAAACTATAAAATGAATTTCTATATATTAAAATTATATTAAAGCTCCTTCATATATGTCAACTATAAATATGATCCCTCATTATGTCACTATCAACATGAATATAAAAGCGATCCAAATAGGTTGATATTAACGAGAATCAACTATATCGGAATAATGTAAAACATCAAATCAAATTGACTGGATTTTGTGGATTACATACTAAACGAAATTTCAACAAAATTCCCATTCTCTTCGAATAATATAAGTTCGGTATCATGAACTATTTTGATTGAGTCATTAATATGATCGAAGATTTCAGATAGGAAAACATCATTGTCAGGAATTGAAGTTCCATCATCTCGGTTCTGAAAAAAATAATTTTGGGCTATGTGAGTTACTAAAACATAATATTCAAACATATCAATTAAATAATATTATATTTACTGTAAGATATTTTATAAGCTTATTTTTATCATGAAATTGATTATCATTCTTTTGTTCATATCCAAATGATATAGCATTATTGAGAAACTTTTTCAACTCTAACGTTCTAATAGTCATCAAAGAAGCTTTGACACTTCCCCAGTCACACGCTCTAGATTAATGTATAATAAGCATTAGAACAATTTCATAAACTATGAAATTTTAAGTTATAATACTTACTGTAGTTTTGACATTATTATCTATTTATAATGGAATTAATAAAAATTTTTTTATAAGGATCGTTTTTTATTTTTACTGCACCTTTGCCTTTTCTGAAAACATTCGTGTATTCTTATATTGGGATTCTTGTTTATCAAGTATAAATTTGAATTCCTCAAGCGAAGTGTAAAATGTTGGGTCAGTAAATATTGGCCAAGCAACTATCGACATATTATTGCGATATAGTTTTGATATGAAGTTATCTTCCTCTTCCTAAAATATTCAATGATTAGACATATTAAAATTTTATGATAGTTTTAGCGAGTACAAGGGTAATAATAGTATTAACAATAAAATACTTCATTAACAATGTTTGCAAATTTTGAATGATATTCTTCAACGACTCCTTCTCTGTCATCTACTACGACATCTTTAATAACTATACAAAAGCATGCCTTCACCAGAGAAAAGGGATGACATGTAAAAAAAAATATAAACAAACTTTTGTAACAATATTATGTTTTACATAAATAATACTGTAATATCAATAAATGACAATTATCATTTATCGCTAGTGCGATGCATCGCCACCCCTTGATCGACCAATCATTTGGTTAAGGTTAAGGTTATGATTTGGTAAAAGCAGTAATTAAGAGGTTCTCCTAACCCAAAATTTCGCAAGGAATTTTTTTTATTAAGGTAAAAAGTGTAGTTTCTTGGTCAAATTTTTCAGTTAGAAGCGATTTTTCAAAAAAAAAAAAAAAAAGAAGCTATTTCGCTGGGTACCCTTATGTCAAGCAAATTCCGGGCTGAAGATCACTTCCGATCATAAATTTCGTGGATCGGAACCAATAAAATTACAGGATCTTATGTAACAAAACAAACGCAAAAAAAAACACAAAAAACACAAGAAATTGTCAATAGCGTGAAATTACTATGCCAACTAGCTTCCGACCTTTAAATAAAAGCTTTCGGCATGAAATTTTAGTTATAGAAAGCATTTTTATATACTAAAAATATGGGAAATTGTTGATATACTACGACCCAGAATTTTTAGGCCGGAGATCCGTAATTTGCTTGACATAAGGATACGTACCCTATTTCGCTTCGATTTTCACGTTACACGTGATCCTTTGTCGATCAGGGGTGGCGATGCATCACACTGGCGATGAATGATAACTCTCTATTATAAATTACTTGAAATATGTCAGGATCATCTCCAAAATATTTTGCTCCATCTTGAAAGCGTTGGAACATGGAAGAAATATTTCTGCTAACTGCAAAATTGCTTTTAAAAAGTACAAGATTTGAAAGTGCCGCATTAAAAAGCTGTAAAAATGTTTCTTCTTGTGCTGATCTTTCAATACTTGCTAATCCTACAAAAATAAGCTCTTGTTAATATATAAACATCAGATCATCTATCAAAAATCTATATTACCTTCAAAATCAAGTGCCACATAAAGAATTTCATCTATTTTTACTGTTTTTATATAAATAATAGCAGTCTAGTCATGCTAAAATTATATATTTAATACAGAAATCAATCATACATAAAAACTTTCCTAATGACATCCATATGCCTTCCGTGCAACGCTAAAATGGTTAATAAAAATATTAGTAAATAACAAAATCAATTCTATATGCAAACTTTAATAAGAAAAATTAACCATAGCGGATCCATCGAACGTTGAACCAAGACAATGATTTAGTAAATAACTTTTGCCTAGATTTAGGAGGATATTAGAATTATGAATTTTGGTCACTGTTATAACTTCAATCTACTCATTAATATTTATTGTCGCTACTTTTTTCTTTCAAAACGAATAACTTACCGCAAGATTGCTCTCCCATAGATGAAATTACTTTTACTTCCAGATCAGCATAATGTTCAAATATAGACTCATACCATCCAAATGAAATAGCTTTTGATATATTTCCAATTAATCCAAACCCATCATCAAGCACATTTTGTTCAGTTTTTTCTAAGAATCCGTCTCGAATTGGTATAAATTCATTTTCGTGCGCAACAGCAATTTGGATAGGAATAAGACAAAAAAAATCAATAATCCAACTAAAATTAGATATAGGCAGAGAAATTTTTTAATGTTAATACATTAAATATTTTATATTATTTTATAATCATATAAACTACTTACTCTCCAAACCTATGTTCTGTAAATTCGCTTGCAAGGTTGTCAAAGCTTTCAAAAATAATACAATTTACACTAAATTTTTCAAGATTGCTCATAGGTTTTTTTGTTTCTTTCTTATATTTTTGAAATAATTTACAAAAATATGCTTTAAACTTTGTCTTATAATTGTCTATGCTCAGTTTACTGCTTAGTTCTATAACTATTGTTAATTTTAACAATTCATCCTTTTTACTAAATGGGTTTGTGATTGCATATTTTGTAAAAACCATAGAATATACATCAAACAATCCATTTATTTTTGTTCTTGGTTCAATGTTAAATTGTTGCCATTCTTCAAAATTAAGTTGCTGTTGATTGATTATCTTCAATTCACAATCGTTAACAACTTTGATAATTTGAAATTTTTCATTACCAATAACTAAAGTATCACCCACATGAAGGTCATCGGTGAACTTTGTGTTTTGGCCAACGATTGTAAATGGATCATTGCTTTCTATTTTTACTTTGCCTGAAGAATTTTTTACTGTCTTTCGTTCAAATCGATATTTAGCCTTCATTTGTGTAACTTTAACCATCAAAGATTGAAAAACATTATTACGTAAGTCAATTGTTATTAGATGAGTTTGTTTATTTGCAAGCGAACAAAATTGAAAAAGTTCTATGGCTGGATTAGCAAATGGAACTTCGATTACTTTGTTTGCATTTTTGTTAAACCTTTCCAAAAAAAATACGTATCCACGAACAATGTCTCTATTTAAAACTTGAGAATTATTTATCTTAGATTGAATCATAGTATTCTTCTGCAGTTTAGATTCTGTTAAATCAACTATACATTCGTGAGAAATAGTCGCAAGTTCTTTATTATTTTTAGTTGTGTTATCGATACTTGACGACTTAGCTTCATTATTAATATCAAAATTATTTTCTTCTGTGTACATATTCTCTGAGATAGTCTCACTTTCTTTATCTATGCTTTTAAACGTTTGTATTTCAAGCTCTGTTGAACTATCTAAATTTTTTTGGGATACAATTGCAGTTTCTTCATTATTTTTAGTTGTAATGTTGATATTTGATAATTCGATTGTGTCATTGGTACTTAATAATTTAGGTTTAGGATTTTCTACTTGCATTTTTGTGCATGTTTTATTGGTTATCTCTATTACTTTATCCTCGACTTCAGATGCTTTAACAAAGAGTTTTTCTTTCACAAATGCAACAAAGCAAGCACCATCTGGTGTGCTCATTACCCGGGTGCAATTTCTTGGAAGTTGTGCGGTTCCCGGCCGAAATCTACCACTTATCAAATTATAGATTCGAGCTGATCCATTTTTTTCCACGAAACAAACATCTTCAGTACTTTTTATAAAAAATAAATGGGTTATTTGTGGAATATTTAAATTGTACCATTGACTAATTTGGATGTTTCGATATTGCAAATGAATATTATGTTGTTCATCATCTAATCTATATGTATTAAGCTTTTAATGAAGATATTAAATAAGTGATCGGTAAGAGAGTTTTTAACGTAAATTATAGTTAATACATACCAATCCTTTATCATTTTCATAAATTGCAATCAAGC